TAAACGATATTACGCGAATGCTTTTTTTCTGTGTTGGTCTAGGAGAGAAAATAAATATTTCGTTGACAATCTATTTTCTATTCGGCTGAATTATAATTTATTGATTATTATATTTCGAATAATATTATTAGCTATTATTACTTCAAAAACTTATACCAAAATACTGTTGACTAGTGTATGAATAAATAAAATTAATCTAAATATATCGATATGTTGATCAAAAAAATATAGGTACGTAGCGTGATTAGTAGCCTTAACTGTCAAGTCGCTACGAATAATATTATTTATGAAATTATACGTATGGTGAGCACTTTGTATTTAATGTTAAACTTTTTTTACTCGTGAAAAAAAAATGTTTTTACAAAATAAAAATAAATCTAAAAAATATGGACAAAAAATTCCACCTATTTATATACCTTTTTACGTAATATAAAACCGCTGACTAAGCTGAAAAAACTCGATCAAATTTTTTCGATAATAATATTTCAAATAAATATTAGTATTATTTAACTTATAACTTTATTATTATCTATAGTAAGTAACAAAATAATTTAGAGATTTTGGTAATTTTGATGAATTTCTTATTTTTCATATATTATTATATTTCTATTTTCATGCTGGTTTATATTATATATTAATTTTCCTTGGTATTTTTAAAATCATAAGTATTTTATCCGTCCATTAAATCTTATGGACTTAAAGAATATTTATAAAAAAAAAAAAATATTATAATATTCTTTTTTTAGTTTTCAGTAATTAATATTAAAGGAACGTCTTTACAATTTTCTAATGTAGGTATGAATAATAATATAAAACATTCTAAGAATTTTAAACTATAAAATAATATGGCAATTTTAGCAAATTTGACTAATTTCATGTATAGAAAAGAAATAAAAATTTAAATATTAAATGAATACCTACGTCAAAGGTCTACGGTTGTTTGTATAATTATATTATATAAAAAAAAAAAAAAAAAAAGATAATCAATTTTAATAATAATTGGCTTTACATAAAATTACCAGTTTTCTCAGGTTGTATTATTATTTTTATCGATTATTCATATGAATACTTGGAATTTTGCTATCTGAACAAAATACACATCATCAATATCCGAAATAATAAAGGAAAATAAAATTTTCTCGATTTAAAATTTGATGTGTCATACGTTGTAAATAATATCGTGAAGTATATTAACCGGAGTTGCCCGATAACGGCTCGAATTCTGGTAGTCGTATTTTATTCCAAATATAAATATTCCGATTACATCCAAACACATATCGGTTTACAAAATAGCTTACAATTATTGAATAAAGTAAATATTTTAGATATTTATGTATTGGGCGTATTTTTATTTGAAATTCAAATACTTTTATATAAATATATTGAAAATTCAAAACAATTATTCGTCATTATAATATTTAATGATATACAACACCATTTTTCAATTTCATTTGTTAATTGCTTATGAAATCGAAATTCATACTTAAATATTATCAATATTTGTTTATTTTTTTCACTAAATATTTCGTAAATTTCCATCATTTTCACTTTGTACTACCAAACCTATCGGACGCAATCGGGATAGGTGAAAAGGTAAAAAGGTTAATTTGGGCCGCAATCGGGCGACGCCCGTCTTAATTGAATACTAATATATTGAGTTACTCAGTTTTTCGATTCATTTATATTACCGTCGCGCGTCAATGACATAAATCTGTGACCGTTATATTATTACCAAACAAGATTACGGTTTCACATTCTATGACGACATGATTATTTAACGACTTGATATTTGATTACCATTTTGTTTTACCGGCAGGTATAGCGAGAATCCTATATCAGACTCATCTGCAGTATTCTTCTTGGGAAGCGTTACGTAAAAAGAAGTAGTATTTTAAAAAAAGGTATTATATTTATATATTGATTTTTTTAAGTGTATGAAAAGTTTTTACAAAAATGATTATTATTACTATATTTTCTGATCATACATTATTATTCTTTTAATCCGATAAAACCAATATGTATCTATTGATTACATATACCTATATGCAAAAAAAGACAATATGGGGGGTTTTGATATACGAGCCTCACCTTGATAACTAACTTTGTTGAATGTATGTATAATAATATTATGTATAAAGTTAGTAAGTATATGTCAACAACGTTCACGTAATAATATAGTGACAAGAATTTTGTGTATTGCTAATATTTACTTTCTATTGATTAATTTATAATGTTATTTTTGTGAATTATTTTTATTATCATTTTAACATTACCATATTATAACACTGTTGACTTGTGTCCGCCTGTTTCCACTGAATTACTCCACTACATACCTACTAAGTCAATTACAGTTGTTTTTATATTATATCCGTCAACTGAGAGTTTACCAATTAGGCTTAAAATTATTATTTTATACACCGATTGCGCTGTATACATTTTAGGGTCGATAGACCAATTGCGCTCAAAACAATAAAAAATATTAAATGAAAACTTATTAGTAAGTTATAATTATATAATAAATTAATACACACATCGATTATAGTTAGATTTTAAAAGTACCGTTTCACTTTCATCAAACAATAAATTTTAAAGATACGATTTAACTGTACACCTCCACTTAATTCCATTTTTTGATTTTAGTACATTTTTGAAACTTAAAATCATCGAGAAGTAACAACGATTTACTTTTTCACTAAATGTTGCTTAAAACAATCCATATTGTAATATAAAACCACTCAAACTAATACAAAAGAAAAAGATATAAGTAACAGCTATATCATCAATGAGTTATTCTATATAGTACAGTGTATATTATATTGTGCAATGAAACAATTAGGCTGATAAATATCCAACGATAATGAAAACTTATTTTCGTTTATCATTCAATTCATACTTGTACGATCAAATGTGCGTAATTATAATAATAATTAATAATGTTTTGTAAAATTCCTGATGATGTTATAAAATATATTATAACTAGTCATTTAAACTAGTAATCAATTAATCAATAAATAAGTTTTTAATTTTTAAACATTTTTGTATGTAGATTGTTTATGTCGATATTGATGGAATCAGATTGAACAATAATATTTTCACATTTGAAGATAGAAAAATTTAAATATAAGCGCAATTGGTACACAAACCCTAAACAAAAATTTTGTTTTAGGCGCGATTGGTCCATGCCCCATCAACTATGTCGATTAAAAAAATATTATGCCCGTAAACAGCCTGCAGATTTGTGGACGTATAGAAATAGTTTTTTGGCTAAATTAATATTTTTACGACCGAAATATAATATTACAATTTTAAATTTGACGATATTATCATCATTCAGGAGTACTTTCGAAAGTTTTGTTCGGAGGATGCCTAAGTGTTAGGTGGTCATTGCGAGAAGGAGAGCGTGCTTTTCTTCCCACTGGAAAATAAATGTATACACGGCTGTGTCGAAGTCACATCACACATATGCGCGTATAAATGTATTAATATTCATTTGAATAGTAATATAATAATATTGTAGAATATTACAATACCATTATTCATTGCATTAGACGTTAGTGATTGCGAGTCTTCGTGCAGCGATGTTCTTACGATCGAATGACTGCTGATGGCGGCGGGGTGACGAGGGGTTCTCAGGCGGCGGCAGGTAGCTATCATCTCTGTGGCCGCCGCCGTCACGTTCACGTGCAATTTCGGTACAGCACGTGCGCGTGCACGAGTCGCTCAGATAAAAAACGTCATGACGATAAATACTTGTCCAAACTTCTCATCTCAAACGAAAATTGAACAACTTGGGCGGGTACACATCCGTGAAAGTATTTAAAACAATTCAATGGAAAAATTTTTAAAAAGTTTTACAGTTTCATTAAAAACTTGGTACATAAAAAAGGCCTGTTGATTTATATTCATATAAGGAGGTTAGGTATAGGCACTCTTGATTATAAACGATGTATTGTACACAGTTTATTACGATAAAAATTCGCTGTCATTGCCCGTTTTTCTCAATATACTATTGATAGTCAGGCTATTATTTTTTTACAGTGGCTTTTACAATAATATGATGCATGCGAAATTATATCGCCTTAGTAGCTAGTGCGTCCGAATACTTTTATTTTTGAATGGCGCCTGGACCAATTCATTTCTATTTTTGATCGTAATATTTTCGAGTAGTGAACTATTAATTTTTTTAAATACACATCGTATACAGAGGTAGATATGTATTTATTTACCGAATGGTTATTGAATTTTGTATTTAGAGTTTAAAATATTGTATGCTCAGTAAATGTTTACTACACTCTCATGCATTAGTTAAAGATTATTATACAGCCTACGACTGATTGAAAAAATAGACAATTATATATTATAACGTCCCGGGTTCCTTTTAATATTTTTATTAAATATTTTATAGCTGTTCACTTTCTATTTTCTTTTCTTTTTTCTTTTAATCTACCCCCAAATGGCTTAACATGATTTAATACGGCACCAAATCGGAGGGACTAAATTATATAACATATATAATATAGATATATCGCGTATAAATACGTAGTGAAAAAATGTCAAAGTAGATCAACACCCAGACTCCCCACCACGCACTGCGTGTACACCACTGTCAAAACGTATAAATGAGTAGGCGGTACGAACGGTACAGCATATTATAACGTATACCTAATGTACCTACCTGTACATTGTCTTGGCGGATGCGATGTCGCAAATCGTTATAACGGAAGTCGATTTTCAATATCGTCTATTACAATCGGATCGATTTCTACCATCAATAGAATAAAATTCCTGTAGACAATTTAGCGTTGTATTATGTTGGACCGTTGGACGTGAACACATGCCAGTCGTTCGACCATCTCCAAACGCGCATGTCACCCGCTCGGACCGTTACAATTACACAGGGCAGATAGTGCGATTTTTTTTCTCTCGTCGAATAACTCGTGTTTATTTTATAAACATTTATATTGTATTATTTAATTTAGTTTTCGATCTTCATTTTAAGAATGGATAACGATCGTACAAATGGTAATCCAGAACGGAAAAACGTCCGATTCGATCCGTACTTGGAACTAATGATCGTCGACGTGGATAAAGCGCCGAGCTGCACTTCTGATCTATCGCCAGAATCTTCTACGGTTCGTCAACGGGTTTTTCAGTACCAATTGGATGAGTTAAGGCGCTCGGAACCATCGCAGTTTCAGCAGCAGTCGAGTCCACCCCCGCTGCCGCCCAGGAACCGCGTAAACCCATTGACCAACATTAACAAAAGTGCCGGACTATCGTCGGGTATAACTCTAATACTATCAAAGAAGTCACCGGCGTCAGAATCGTCAAAGTCGAGGTGGAAAATAATATTTTATTTGAAGAAAAAGTCGCAACCGAAGACGAATTTCCAGCCGAAGACGAAATCCCAGCCGAAGACGAAGTCGCAGCCAAAGACAAAGTCGCAGTCAAAGACAAAGTCGCAACCACAACTGAAGCTGCCACCAAAACCGCCGACGCTGCTACCGAAACTGCAGCCGCTGCCGCACGTAAAAGCCTCATTTACGGTCACCAGTCGGGGTGTGCAGCATTTTAGACGCGACCCCGCGCTCGTGGACGGGCTACCCAGCTCCGCTAGCCCTGCCGCCAAAAGTAAAAACGCCGCACCGCAGTCCCGTTTTTTCAAAATGTTCAGCAAAAAACTGCTTGTACCGCCTACAACGCAGGCACCCCCTCCTCCGCAGCCGCAGCCACAACTACAATCGGAGCCGCAACCATCCACGTCAACGGCGCCGCTGCCAACCACATCAAAATCACCGCTGCCGCGACCGGAGCCGCAGCCATCCACGTCTACGGCGCCGCTGCCAACCACATCAACAGCACCACTGCTGCAACGAAAGCCGCAGCCATCCACGTCAAAATCACCGCTGCCGCGACCGGAGCCGCAGCCATCCACGTCAACGGCGCCGCTGCCAACCACATCAACAGCACCACCGCCGCAACGAAAGCCGCAGCCATCCACGTCTACGGCGCCGCTGCCAACCACATCAACAGCACCACTGCCGCAACGAAAGCCGCAACCATCCACGTCAACGGCGGCGATCGAGGTGGTGATAGAGCAGAAGACACCAGGGAAACATGACGATGTAGGCGAAAATGGCGGCGGCAAAAAACACAAAGGTAGCTGCAAAATACACAAAGGCCACTGCAAAAAGTGCGAGCGCGCAGACCGCAAAAACGGTGATGTCAAGAAAGAAGGCGACGACAATGACTTGGGAACGGAATGTTTGGCTTTCGCCGTCAAGTGCTTCGGATGCAACATCATGTGATTCACGGTATTCCTGACAACTATTTCAATGCTTATTAATATTTTTTAATCACAACATATTAATTTTTTTTAATAATTATTAATTAATAATACGTCATACAATGTATTTGTCATGTACTTTTTTTTTAATCATATGTTTTTTCGATAATTATCAAATTATTTAACTTTGAGCCACTTTTAATGTTGGCTATTCGGGCTATTCGCATTTATTTTTAACATTATCGTACTCGCGTTTTGGTCCGTCCGGAGCGTGTGCACAACAAAATTAATATTATTATTGTTATTATACATTTTTTTTTTTTAATATATCCAAAAATTATTTTGTGCCCGTATTTGTTGATTTAAATTTTTTTACTTGTGGTTACCTTTCCTATACTATTATAAGACTACTATTATGTATATATATTTACTTTACGGCAGTATTTCGTAATTATTATTACGAGTCAATGTGCCTGTTCGCAGTTTGCACAGTGGTTGGTTTAATCAGCCTAACAACAGCCGTACTACGATGGGTGTGAAGCGATGCAAGGTATATGTTTCATAAAGTGTTTTTGGATTTTTACTATCAAGCTTTTATTTAGGTATATTTGTAATAGAATATTTCAAAACAAAAAACCATTTCGATTGACAGTTAATTCGATTCCATACCGTGTCGGCCATTACACGTTATGTCGACGCATTAAAGTAGGTACCTACCGTGATTTCATGCGTATAATACGTCAAAGCGATATCACTCTTCTTATTATAATTTGTTGTTGTACACTTGTACAATAATAATAATAATAATACATAAGTACATAATGCTATACATTAAATATAGGTATATGTTGTCGCCACTTCAAATACAACAGTTAGGATTTTATTTGCAGCACTTCTCCAAGAACACTGGACAACTAAAATGCATAATCATACAGGTATAGTATCATCGAACAATTAAACCGCTGTTAACAATACTATTGTTTTATAACAAGTAAACGTAGGGGAACATATAGCATTGTGCATAAAGGTAAGTGTACCGTCAATAGTGATTAAAAATTGATAATGCATGTACTTACTTGCAGTGGTTTACTTTCAAATTTTTTGTGAGTAGAAGGGAGATCAAAAATAATTATATAATAATTTATATTAAAATAATTTTTATTGTAAAAAATAAATAATTTTATAATATTTATAATAAATATCTATAAGTTATGAATTAACAATTATTATTTTAATTTGGCACAAAATATATTTTTATTTTATTTTTTGATTCCCGGAGAGGGATCGAGTCTTGGATACATATGGGCGTTCTCGGGGGGGGGGGGGGGGGGCACTTTCCCCTTAGAATTTTAATTTTGTTATTTAATTGTAACAATTCAATGCAATAATGACGAAAAATAATAATGTTCTATAAATAAAATTTATAATAAAAATACCTAATTGTAATAATGACGATACATATAATAATGCACTATAAATAAAATGTATAGAAAAGTCTTCATTTATTTTTTTAATTAATTTTCCCCCTCTACAAAAATGTCTGAGGACGCCCATGCGGGTGCATGAAATATTTATAAAAATATTATCGAACTACTCATGAAGAACCTTGTATTCAATTTTCAAAATTTTTACTAAGTAAATATTTTTTTATCAACATAAATAAAAAAAAAAACTAAAAAAAAGTCGAATATGTCAAAACTTAAGAAGCGTATATAAACACGATTAGGTAAATTAGAAAAAATGCTTGGACTTGACCAAATTTACTAAAATTTCAAACATTTACAAATTATTTTGTAATTAAAAAATTTCTAAATTTTTAAATATTTTTAACTGGATATAAAAACATAATACATAGTCATCATAAGTTACTATTACTAGAGTTTTAACAAAATTATCTAGAAATTTTTCGTTATTTTTTTTTATACTTATATAAATGTCGATAAAAAAATTCTGCTCATTTAAAAATTTTTAAAATTTAATATAATTTCTCTCATAAGTTTTTTACACATCAATAAATTAAAAAATATCAGAAATATGTAAAGTCACGTGCATGGTTTTATTTTTTTTTTTTATTGAAAATAAGTTTAAGTCTACACATAATATGACTATGCATAGTTTTTAAAATATTTCGACTCTTTTTGAACTAATATAATATAGAACTTATTAAATAGGTATTTTTAGTATATTTTCTAAAACTATTGATAAAAGAAAATTTTACTCTCATCAAACAGTTTGAAAATTTAAAAAAGGTTCCTCCTCATAAGTATTAATCATGACCATTTCAAAATATAAAAGTTTAATTATTTATACAATATAAGTTAAAATCACGATTATTTGCATATTTTATAATATAAGCATAATATATTATTGTACTGAACTTCTAATTTTACAAAAAATTAACAGTTTAATTTTAAATATAAATAATTGTAAAAGGTTAAGGCTCCTATTCTAAATTATTAAAAGTAATATACACTTAACATAATATATATTATTTCCTGCATGTATATACAAAACCACACTATTGAAACTGGTTAACGAAAAAATTTACTATGTCGTACTTGTGTAAGACGGGACAACATTTGCGAGTGCAACGTCCTCTTAAGAAGAATTTATAAAATTTTTAATTAATTTTTATATTTAAGACTTAAATTTTGAATACAAATTTCTTAATAAATTATTTATGCTGTAACAAAAGTATCTAAAAAAATAAACTTGTTTTTTTTTTTTTTGTTCATACATATTAATAGTAGTATGTAATATACATTAATATTTGAGTTCAATTTCGGATTAAATTTGATAATTAAATAAATAATAAAAATTTTAATAATTTTTTTTTAATTCAAAAATATTTTTTAAGTAGGTTTGAAACTATAGCACATATTATTACACTTTTTTACATACAAAACATTTAGATTAATATTGTATGTTATTACATATTTTATTGTATAAACAATTATATTGTATTAGTACAGCAAAGGAACTGCCTATTTTTATTATTATTATTATTTAAAACAGTTCTATAACTTTTGAAACCTGAAGGTACTGACTTGAATTAATTTTCAAAACAGAAAAATTATTGTTTTTCTTCACTACAAAAACTGTTAAATATTAAACAAAAAGGTAAAAGAGAAAGAGCAGTTTATTGAAAAATAAATAGACTAAAATATTATTATGGTATTATTCGTAGTCACCACAGAATGCATTGATTATAGGTTCACGATCTCAGAAAAAATGTAGGTATTAAAATAACTACTGATGTACATTCAAATTTAAAATATTTTTAAATAATACTGGCAGCATTAGTAACTTTGGTATTATACTGATTTACCGCATTATGTTTATTTTTTCAAATTATTTTTCCTAATAATATTATTTTATATTAGTATTAAATTATCAATTGTTGATTTTTGTAAAACGTAGAAGATAATATCATAAAATATTATTGTGGACCTAGCTGAGTATTATATATTATCTGTTAACTTAGAAAAAATGCAATTATTTATAATGATAATAATTATTATTAATTTACATTTTTATCATAGTTACAATATTGTTTGATATAAAATACAAATGCAAACAATTTTAATAATAGTTATACCTCATTTTAATATAAGAAAAGTAAATTAATTGTTAATATTATAATATTTTTTTTAATTTGATAGGAGCGATGAATGTTTTGATTTTACTATAGTGTGTAGGTATGTATGTGTGTTTGTGCTTCTTTTTAATACGAATACACTATAAGTAGTTAAAAAATGCATCGATTTTTTAACTTTTAGAAAGGTTTTAAATTGCAAATTATATCTAGTTTTTACTTTAAAAAGTTTAAAATTAAAAATTACCATTATTAGACATTTTTTTTTCAATAAATATCAATTAAAAAATATTCACTGGGTCAAAATTCTGAAAATTTAATATGAGCTTCCAAAAATTTGTTTTCATATTATTTATATAAAATTACGTTTGCATAATTTTTATTATATACATTTGAAGTTAAAATTTTTACATAAAGTTATCAAAATCACGAAAACTACTAATTACAAGTATTTTTGAGTAAAACATTTGTAAAATCTTTAATTTTTATTAATAAGGTTTGAAAATGTAATATAATATTCCTCGTTAAGTATCTGATACTGGAGTTAAAATTCCAAAAATTATACATACATAATTATTATTATTTATGGATATTTGAAGAAATTCAAATTTGGACGAAATTACGTGTTTTATGATGAATAACGATTTATTTTATTATTTATCAAAAACATTATTCATTACTTGTGTGTTATAATAAATATAGGTAAATGTAATATTTTCCAGAAAAATTATAACAACCTACTGTAACACTAAAATAAAAGTAAATGACTTTAATAGATACATAAAAAAATATATTTCATGAAATATACTTTGTGATATAGGCTGACAGATCATTTTAGCTCAAAATCGTTTGTTTTGCATACAATAAAAATGTATCATTGAATTAAAATTTAATCCACCCATATGTGTGTTGAGTGAACTATATTATGCATAATGGTAATCCACTAGACACCTAATGTATATCAGAAGGTACTCAATTGCCTACCTTTTTTTCTTTTTTTTTTTCACTTATTTAAGTATTTATCTTCCTTATTGGTATTGATATAATATTGTAATTGAGTAAATTTGGTTGAAGACAAATTGGACGATCCATATGTGCTTGCAAGTTTTTAAGGCGTTCCTTTTTCTTGTTGACTGTTTTCATTGGTAGTAATATTATATGCTGCACTAAAACTTAATTTCAAGAAAATCTAATCAGAATTGATTTATAATAATAAACTTGTATAGGTACCTATTTATTTAAAAGTATTATTTTTTTATCTATTTACAGTCAAATAATATTATGTAGTTATTGTCTACAGTACTTAGTATACCATGTAATATAGAGTACTAGTATAATATATCTATAAACATTATATCATTATTTAAATAAATAAATAAATAGCCAAATATTGTATGAGCTGATCGATACAATCTCCGACGAATGGC